TTAGTGATTTGCTGCGAAGTACTCCTTGAGCTGCTAGTTCATTCGACGATAATAATTATTGATTCAATTATACATACAAATATACGTGTGCAGCTTGTGTTACGAAGCAGGTAAGTAGAAAGGGAGCCATTCATGTAACGAAACTAATGTTTATGCATGTAACATGTAATAGAACGGCCTATAGAAAAATACATATGTGTGCTATTAAGTAGCATGTTCTGTACGAGCGCTTGCAAGAAATAATACTAGAGAGAAAGAACACATAATAATTTGTATGTATAGGATCTGCATTTGTATGCGACTCACAATCAGGCAAGACTGCTAGTCTCGTTTAGATCGTTGAAGCGTATGGATGTAACGCTCTTCTTACATTTCTACTACGGATAGGCTATGTTTCTAACACTGATTACAAATATCGTAAAGTAAATGTGAAGACCGAAATATTTTCTAAATCAAGATGTCAATGTGTACATTTGCAAGTATCAATAATGAAATTATTATTCGACTTTTTGTAAAAAATTCGTCGTTGTCATTACACGTCATTATAAAGTTATAACGTTTAATATGGATTTACATATCGAAGATTTTTGACAGAAAGTTATGAAACACTATCAACGTTTGCCTATACAATTTCGAAGTTCTGGAGTGAGTACTGCTCTTTTCATCATAATTTTCTTCCTGTTCTTCGTGACGGCACTTCCTTCAGCACTAATTTTTAGAGGTATCCAACCGAATTCAAATCACTATTGTATCTACACACGATTAATCGCACTTTTTACTTAGTCACATATAGTTTAAATACCTGCTAGAAATCGAACAGCGGCAGAATCAAAATATTTTATTCTAATAATGTCACAAACGTATCATTAATCATAGATATTTGAAATTTCCCAATCTCATTTTTTAGAACTGAAATTCCCAGAACGAAACTTTTCAAACCATTTCTGCACAAAAAAATTATTTGATCAATTATTTTATATTTTTGTATAAAAGAATTCGTCTTTGTACAAAATACGTAATAAATGATAAAAAAATATATTTTTCGGAAATTCTTTTCAACAAGATATGATAATACAAAATAAAACTGTTTGCCTATGTCAAAAACAATTACATTTACATGCAATAAAATTCAACATTTTCATACTTGTCGGAGAATTTAATTAGGAGTTCACAACCAACTTTTAACGAGATATCCTACTTAAATTTTTTCTATATTCACTGTAGTTATAATAGTTATAACTTCTTCTTTATATTTCTCTTATTTATCATTTGATCCGTACAAGAATAATTAACATAAATGGACGAGGAGAGTAACATATAAGTATACATGTGGTCAATGACTAAATTCATTTTTTATTTATGCTTATCGATTACATACGTAGAGAATCAGTGGTGTAGTGAAGCGTCTTTGTCATTATTACGCCTGTTTAATAATGTTTCGGACAACAAACTGGTTGCCATCAATTTTCCGATTATCTCTATAATAAGACAGCACTCGTTCCTCATACGTTGTTTCGAGTAAAGAATTTTTTCTTCTTGTGGGAACTCACAACTCTTCTGGCTAATTCTAGCAAGATCACTCTCAAGATATTCAAAATACGAAAACATCTTGTTAGAAAGACGTAGAAATATTCCTACAGTAAGTAGTACAATTTGTTAACACATTGTTGACGATATACTGTGAAATAAATCTTACCTCAGTTTGGAAAATATGTCAAATATGAATTCATCTATTTAAAGCAATGAGAATGTTTCATTAAACAGATGAAATTTTATGAATATTTCATTCAAAATTTATGAATATGGCCAATGATAATACTAGTAGTATTAAAAGCTCTTTTCGTCAATAAATGAAATGGTAATACTAGTAATGTTAAAGCTTTTTTCGTCAATGAATAAAATTTATTTCTCTACTCAACTGTTTTGCTATGCTCTGCTCTTTATGCCTTGTTGCTTAATTCCAAGCATTATGTTCAAATTGAATAAATTTATATTTCTGGAAAACGCGGCTGACGTTTCGTGTACACTAACTTCATAAGTAGTTTTCATATATTATTAAAAATGTCTTTTTTAAAATTTGATATATAATCGAACTGTGGCATGATATTCGGGTGGACCTTATTTTACAAGGTTCAGAAACAATCAACATCGTAATGTACCGTACAGATAGAGTTAAAAATTCCGGCTTGAAAAGTTTCAACATTTTGTGATTGTTTTCTAGTGTTTTCACATTCAGGAATCCATTCTGTGAGGAAACGAGGATATTCTGTGCATAAAAATAACTAAGAACGGTAGAATAAAATTTTGAGAAATCAAGGAAATAGGTCTTGAATGATATTTCGGCAAAGAAAATTGCCTTGGTTCTTGAATAAATTTGCAAACTCGATTTTCTCGAACACAAAACATCTTACAAAAATTTTATTCTACAATTCTTTTAGTTATTTTTTTAGAAATAACCTGCATACGTAGAAGAACCTGCCGTTGATTATTCTTTCCTGTCAAGTCCAGAATTAGCTAAATTTAAATATATTTGGTAAATTTACAAATTCGATTTTCTTGAAAACGTAGGCTTTAATAGAAAAATTTTATTCTTTCTTTTTAACCCATTTTTTTTTTCATGTAGAATTATCTCTTACTCATTATTTACGGGATAATTAGTTTGTTCAAAAAACACTCTATAATATACATATATATAATAATATATATAATATATATAATAATAATATATATAATAATATATAATAATATATATATAATGTATATAATATATATAATATATATAATAATATATATATATAATGCGAGATAATCTAATACCATTGATAATATAAAGACTGTTAGTTGACAATAATCACATAAGGAGTAATTATAAATAATTCAGCTATTCTAATGTCCAGAATTATAACAATTGATTTTATTTTCTAATACTTTATGTATTACAGAGCCTATTTCGTAACTATGACTTTATTCGCGGGAAACAGATTTCACAGAATCTAAATAACATTCGTGTAGAATCTAAATAACATTCATATTTTTATTTTGAATCATCATTCTCAACCACCACACGTAAAGCGGTGAAAATAGAGAAAACATTAGAGAGATACTGAAACATTATCAACTTATGTTATTCACATATTTATCTTTGATAATTTCATCTATTAATTAAAGAGATTGCAGCTATAAATAATCACCTTCATTATAGTATAATATGATTGAGGTAAGAAGCAATTTAAAAATTAAATTCTTTTAAATACACTATTCTTTACAATATATCAATACTATATAAAACTCAATGTGATTAATTGGAAATGCAAAAAATGTAATAATACTGTAATGAAAACAATAATAGTAAATGAATTTTGTGAAATAAAGGCAGTAATAAATTTACTTACTAATTCCAAGTAAATAAAAATAGTACTGTACAAATAAAAACAAATTTTGATCAGTTGGTTTTTTTGAGTATTTAAAATAAATTTCCGTAGGCTTAATTGGGGTAAATGACAAACTTTTTGTATAATATATTTTAAAATTATTTTAGTAATTATTTATACTATTTTGTATGTCAAATAAAAATTACGTCTGTGATAATGTAGTCTACAATAGTTATTTGATTGCCATCTCTTCCTCTATTATATTTTATTAATTACTTTATATTCTGTTTCATGGAATTAATCGATCTGGCAAATGAGATTCGTTTCAATCATCCAGTAATAACCTTATTAACCATATAAAATAAAATAATATAAATAAAAAAGAAATTTAATTTTGAAATTTCATTTTTTTATTATAATTTTATAGTGTATATAATAAAACAACCTATTGTTTTATGTGATTATTTGATTTTATAACGTAATTTATTCCACGTTTCATTTTTTCCACCTACTCTGAAATTATAATAATTGATTTTTATTCGTTGGTGTGAGTGGAAGATATAAAGATGGCCAAACTTCCTCCGATTCATTAGAAAGAAAAAAGATCACAACTCTTTCTCTTCGAGATGTAGATACTTCGTTCTATATTCCCTTGGCACAAGTTCTTTTATTTTCAATTAAACTTAGAGTCCAAATACTAAAAAATTCAATTATTATTTTATATATAAAAGCATTCAAAATACATCGACTTTTAAATGTCTTCAATAGTTTTTGAAACAATCGATACGAAATATCTATATATTGTTGTAGGATGAAACCAATTTCAAGAATTCTTTTAGGTTCTAAATATTTCATCATAATCTAGGTTCTAAACACATAATCGAGAAATGCCTAAATCTCGGAAATGGAGGATTTTTGGACACATGTATAATGTAATCTTTATTATTCCTTAGAATTAGTAGTTTACTTCCCTGATATTCTGTACAAAATAAATAAAATACACGAAACAGAGCTATTTTCGTATTGCTGCAATTTCTTCTAATCGATATTTGGATGATAAGTTGCCTTACCGAACAATAATAATGCAAAGAAAGCTCCGGTATTATGCATCTGACAGAAAGAATTATTGGTTGTTGATATACCAGTACGTTCAGTAGATCTTTTTGCATTTCTAATGTCTGTTTGTACCAAACTATATCATATATACTTCGTGAAACATGTATACTCTAAAAAATATGAAAGATTAATCGTATATTATGTTATTAACATCTGCATTTTCAGTGATTTGGGATTTTAGAAATATTTTTAAAAATTAAAATATTTATTTCGTTAAAATAGCGTATGCGGTGATATGGAACATGATTTCCAATTTCCAATAAGTTGATCATTATATCTAGCAACCAATGTTTCTTTTACAAGTAATTCTATAGAAAAAGTTGGAATTTGATACATCCTGCATGTACATATGCTCTAACATGTAATAAGGAACTAATTAAGATTATAATTTCTTATATAATAATTAAAATTAATCAATTTAATTTTCTAAAGTAAGAAACGTAGTCATATTATTATCTGTTTATAAATAACGAAATATGATTTACCATATCTTTCAAATAATCGGCTGGCCATGCATATATATAAACTTCGACCAGTACAGTGAGAGATAAAATTATAAATTGTATTTTCGCAATTAGTGGAGTATCCTATATATATTAATCCTGTATATATTAATTTATATTCTATATACGAGATATATATGTTTCACTTACCATAATCAAGATAATGCCACATAAAGTAAGACCAAATGTGCTTACTGCTATAGCATAAAGTACTATAAAACGAAAGATATCAACTACCTTTTCTGCATATCTAAAAAAAGGTATTTACAATGTAGAACTTAAATATATCCTACTATACATTATGAGTGAGAATATGATCTTTACCTTCTTAAATATAACTGTTTCTTAATGCAGACAATGAGCATACTAATATTTGTAATTTGTCTCATTTCAATGGCCAAACACTCGAACCTTGCCGCGGTGAACCAAAGTAGAAGCGCTCCAAACATGCTCAGACACAAATGTGCAGCAGACTGGTAGCAGACGATAGACTGTTGCATATATATGATAACGTGCACTGGCGTATCATTAACGCGAAATGGATATTCCGCGTCACATGGAAAGGATGCCGACATGAATGCTGGTCCTACCGAAAAAACAGTCGAGGTCAGATATGTACATACCATAGAGCTTCCAAAAAAAGTGCTGCATTTCGCGACAAGTTTGCAATAAATTTCCTTTTCATATTGTTGCGCCTCTTTAACACAGTTCAACATCTCCCCGACCACGTGCTGTAACCCGAATGTCAATTATAATAATTGAATCACATATTTCCTTACACAAATGTAGAGTGAAAAAGTAGATGGAAACTTGCCTGTAGGGAATCATGATTTATCACGCATATAATTGCCTGCATCACCTGTTGACTTACGCCTATAAATATGCAGATGCATTCAGAAACAATGAGTATATCGTCTGAATGCAAATAAATCGCATATGTCAAAGCCAGGAGAAGCGTGCAAGCGCTAATGACGCTACTGATCTGTAAAGTTTTATAAACAAATACTCGTGTCTTGCTGCTGTTACTGGGTAGCGGCCAACAGAAAGATAAAAGTACGCTGAACATAATGATATCGATAGCTTTCTTTGGCGTTGGTTGATTCAACATAATCTTGAAAAAAAGCTGCTCGCTGTTGAACGAACGAAACAGGGTTTAGTTGGTGCAGTAGAATGATATGTGCAAAGGTATTGTTACATTGCTGGAAAAGTAACTGAAGCTCTGCAAACGTTGAATCCGTATAAAATTATTCTTTATGCGCAAAGAATTTAATAAATCATACACTGGCCGTAACGTCTAAGGACGATCTATTGATTAGCGATTTGCTGCGAGCTAGTACTTCCTACGTTCTTACTGGTTCTTTCGACGCTGATAATTATTGATTGCATTATACATCGGCGCAGCTTGTGGCATAAAGCAGGTAGATACAGAGGGTGGCAATTACGACCAAGCTAATGTTTATGGACATATAATAGAACAGTTTACAGAAAAGTACGTTACACATATGTGTGCGTTAAATTATATCTTTGAACTGTTTTACAGGAACGCGGCACTACTTGGGGTAAACGGCAATGCCAAAGAGAAAGTACACGTGATAATTTGTAGATATAGAATCTACATTGATATGCGTTTCTTGTAATAAACTAGTGGTAAAAAAGAAACTAGTCTCGTTTATGTGGTCGAAATACATGTTTCGAGTATAGCCAAGCGCTTTGCTCACTTTTTTCCTTGTATTACTGTAAGACTGATCAAAGGACTACATCAATATCCAAAGTGAATAAGCAATAATAGTAAAGTTAGTATTTGAGTTTTTTTTGTAAAAAATCTATCACTGTATAGTGATACGTTCGAATGAAGTTTAGCATTGATTTGCATATTGAAAATTTTTGAAGTGTTATGAAATGCTAACTATGTTCGGCCATACAATTGCGAAAGTTTGAAGTAAGTGCTCTTTTTTTTCGTGTTTCTTGTTCTTTCGAATAATTTTTCGCTTTTTTAAGGTATTCTTTATCATCTATACAGTCTCTCAGAAATTTCAAATAATCAAACGAATTCGAATCATCAGCATGTGTAGTTTTTCACTAGCCACGTACAGTTTGAATACAGTCAGGAATTGTTTTAGATTTGAATGAGTGCTGACCAAAATCATTCGTGGTTTAATTTTTTTCACAAAATACATAATTTCTTCTGTTGTTATACATAGTTTCGATTCTAGTGTCACAAAAACGTATGTTACTGTAGAACTTACAATCATATAAGAAAATTATATCACTTTTATATAAAAGAAATTATTTTTATAGAGAAACGGAAAATAAACAGCAAAAGGAATTTTTCAATTTTTATTCTTACACATTCTTGAAGAAATTCTTTTTGTCAGGAAATCATATAAGAAATGCATAATAAGAATATGGTATACATATATACTGAAACATCATCAATTTGTTATTTGCATATTGTTAAATTACTGTTAAAGAATTATTATTTAAATAAAAAAAAAAACAATTTAAAAATCGAATTCTTCCAAACGTGTTATGCTATAATGTTATTATTAATGTTGTACTATACGCTTCTCATAAATCAATATGATTAAACGAAAATGCGAACAATGATTTCTTCAAGAGATTCAAGAGATTTGAAAACGAATATTATTTGTAACTCTAGCATATTTTATTATTGAAAATGTCAAAGATGTATATTATATGTTAGGAAAATAGATATTATTGTCTTATATCTATATGCTGTAAAATAATATAACATTTAATAAAATGTTTAAAATATGTATAAAATTGACACAAAGGACGGGTAGAAGAAGAGTTAATTAATATTTCGAAGGAATATTTCTAATTAATATTTCTTTTTCACTTCATATTTGATTTATGGAATAATTCACGGAAATACATTGCAGTTTGAAATAAATCTTATCATATTTTTTTGTCTTCTTTTAGTTATAAATGTACATAAAGGTATAAACTGACAGTATATTAAAAAAAAACTGTTAATTGACAAACTGCAATGTATTTTGTTAATTATCGTAAATCGAATAATTGCAAATAATGTCAATTACAATTCCAAAATTATGTATGTGCTAATAATTGATTTTATTCTGTGAAAGAAATTAATACTTTCTAAAACATTTTACGATGTTTTCTAATTTTAGTAGATTACTTCTAATTTTAGTAGAATACTTTCTAAAACATTTTACAATGTTTTCTAATTTTAGTAGATTCTAATGACAAGAAACAAAAATTTCATTACTTACAGTGTTTGAATCAAAATTTACATAGAAGGCATCTATTCTGTATTATTTTCGAGCACAACTCGCAAAGCGGTGAAGATAGAGAAAACGTTGGATATATACTGAAATATTATCAATTAATTATTCATATGCTATTCTTAATAAACTCATATATTATAAAAATTGCAGTTATAAATAGTTAGCTCTATTTTATGGTAATTTGATTGAATGAAAGAAATCATCTCAAATTCTTTCATACATATACTGCATCAATATTACATTGTATACTACAAATTAATATTTTTAGATGAAAATGTGAATAATATTGAAAATAATATTATAATGAATATAACGAAACAAATTAGTTATTAGCTCATCTCTCGATCCAGTTTTACCACCAAAGAAAAATACTTTCTTGTTGGTCAAACGTGTGAAAGCCATATAAATCGCGCGAGAACATTTATTGTGACATTTAGTTATTCATTTTTTTATACACACAGAAGCAATAACTATTACCACCTTGAATATCTCTAGCTTTGGAGATAAGAAAAAACTTTGTTAACAAAAGTTGTTTCAGTATAGAGGTATTAACATGGCAGTAATCGTTTCTTTTATAGCCGAAAGGATTTTTCAAGATTTCAAGATAATCTCTACTGTTTTAAATAGAATCATCCATGTATGTCGAACGATTATTTATTTTAAAAATTACTTGAAAAATTATTAATTATTGATATTGGATATCCTCATTTGTGAATAACTTTTATAAACGAAGCTATTTTCAAAAATAACAAAAATATTTAAGATGGTAATTCATTGCTTCACCCTGTATATCTGTTGATACATTCTAATTGTAAAACTGACGAATATGACTATCAGTCAATTTCTCAACTTTGAAATTTACTTGCGAAAACACTTTAGTTTATTTTATTGATTTTATAACAAAATTTATTAATATTGGAAACTCGTGAAATTTCATTATTAATTTCATTTTGCAAAAAACTCTGTCTAGTCCCATTTCGTAACGTGACATATTAGTTAAAATATATGATATTATAATGTGAATTTATTTATCTATATTTATCATTTTATTTGATTTTATAATCTAGTTTCATTACTTCGAAATCATGTTAATTGATTATTCGTTTTTTTATTACGAAAAGATGAATATATGTACATAATGAATAAAATATGGTAATAATATAATAAAATATAGTAAACAGAGCTATATCTTTATTACTGCAATTTCAATCGATATTTGAATAATAATTTGGCTTATGCTTTACCGAACAAAAGTAACGCAAAGTAAGCTCCGGTATAATGCAGCTGATAGAAAGAGTTACTGGTTCTTGATATGCCAATATATTCAGTATATCTTTTTGCATTTCTAATGTCTGTTCGTACCATATTATATCGTACGCACTTCGGGAAACACTTATGCTCTGAAAAAAAATATGAGAGATTAATTTTATTCAATGAGTAAGAAAGAAACGAGAATGGTAATGTGAAATGGAACATTATTTCTAAAATTATATCTTGTATCTATTTAAGTTATTAACATAATAGCATTTCTAGCAAAATTTTTTATACATTTATAAATTTCACATACCTAATAATAATAACTAATGCTAATAAAACATAGCACATTATTAGTTCTATAAAGGATAATAATAATATTAAATAAGTAAGTCTAGAAAGAAGAAATTTGAAGAGATAACTTCTACTTTTTGTGCTTAAAAAAGTCATGAATAAATTTTCTTTCTAATGTAATAAAATTAATATTTTGCATTCTTACTTCTGAAATAACTTTTTTTATCTTTTGTACTAGATTAACAAGAATTGTTAGTAGTACGTAAAAAATAAAATTTTATCATTTATTATCAATATTTTGAATTCTGTTAAAACAAGTCATTTTTCTATTTCGTATATAAGTATTAATAATAACAAGAAACATAGCTAAAACTATAATTTTTTATACAACAAGAATATTTGAAATTAATTTAATCATGTTCACCAAATTTTCACATTACCATTTGTTTATATACAACAGAACGTGATTTACCATGTCTTTCATGTAATCGGCTGGCCATGTATATATATAAATTTCTGTGAGTACAGTCAAACACGAAATTATGAACTGCACTCTTACTATTAATGGCGTATCCTATGCATAAACTGCATGGTTATTTCGGTATATTATACACAAAAAAAATCTCACTTACCAGTAATAGTATGATGCCACATAAAGTAAGAACTCCTGTATTTACTACTATAGCGTAAAGTACTATAAGACGCAAAATATTGATCACTTCTTCGGCGTATCTAAAACAGGAATATAACGTGTATAAATGTGCCGGCTTGTTCACACATTGCCAAATAAAATATCACTTTTACCTCCTTAAACGTAATTGTTTTTTAGTGCAAACAATCAGCGTGCTAATACTTGTAGTTTCTTTCAATTCAATGATTAAACATTCGAATCGCGCGGCCGAGAACCAAAGTAGAAGCGCACCAAATATGCTCAGACATATATGAGCAGCGCATTGATAGCTGAGGACAACCTGATGCATATATATGATAACATTCACTGGCGTATAATTAACGCGAAACGGATATTCCGCGTCACATGGGAAATATACCGACATGAATGCTGGTCCTATCGAAAAAGCAGTCGAAGTTAGGTATATACACACCATAGAACTTCCAAAAAAAATGCTGCACTTTGTGATGAGTTTGCAGTAAATTTCTCTTTCGTATTGTTGCGCTTCTCTAACACAATTTAACATCTCTTCGACCACACGCTGTAAATCCGTGATTAAAAATGTATTCATTCTTCATTTCAAGTAGAAGTGAATAGAAACTTACTTGCAGAGAGTCGTGTTTGATCATACATATGATAATCTGAATCACAATTTGATTTACACCTATAAATAGGCAGATACATTCAGAAATAATAAATACATCATCTAAGTGAAGATAAATCGCATATATCAAAGCCAGAAGCAACAAGCAAGCGTTAACGATACAACTGATCTGCAACGATTTATAAACGAGAATTCGTGCTCTACTGCTGTTACTAGGAAGAGGCCAACAAAAGGACAAAGCTACGCTAAACCAAATAATATCGATCACTTTCTCCGGCGTTGGTTGTTTCAGCATAATTTTCAGGAAACTGTTTACTATATGAACGAATGAGATAGAGTTTGAATTTTAGAATATCTGTAGGTTGTTGGAGATAATCAAAGTGGTATTACATCACTACAGCAACTGAATCACTGAAGATATTGAATCCGTATGAAATCATTCTGTTCACACAAAAGATTTCTTATGCTCGGCATAACACCTGGCGAATCATTTATTGATTAGTAATTTCCTTCGAAATTGTTCAGCGCCGCTGGTTCATTCGACCATGATAATTACTGATTGTATTATTCATCGGCGCAGCATGTAGTACAAAATTGCAAGAAACAGTAATCACGCAACGGAAATATTGTATAATAGAACGATCTGTGGAAAAATACGTCTTGCATATGTGTTATGCATTACGGTACATATTCACGTGATAATTTATACATACATAGGGTCTTAACTGATACGAAACCCCTAGTCAGATTGTTAGTTTCATTTGTATCACTGAGAGATTCAGATCTTTCGAATATAATCAAGCATTTCTGTTATACTTTGATCTGAAAAGGACTATTACAAGATTGATTATTTTAAATATACTTAAATTTATCGTCAGAAATCATGAAACAGAGATGGAAAACAAGATACATATTTGCTAAATCGAGGTTCAGAGTGAGAAATTACAAGCAAATAACAATAACATAAATTCGTTACTTCACTTCTTATAAAAAATCCACAGTTATTATTGCGTAAAGTGATATGTTTGAATAAAGTTTAGCATGGATTTGAAAACACTGAAAATTTTTGATGACACGCTGTTCGACGATTACAAAAATCTAAAAATCTGAGGTAAATATATACCACGCTCTTTTTTCATAAATTGTGTTCCTGGTTTGCAACGAGTTATTTCTAGGAATAGTGTCCCTTCTTTAAGATAATGCAGTTATTTCTCTAAACTCTTAGATACTTAATAACTTCAAATTATTAACTAATCGTTACACATTCGCACTTTCACTAGCCACGTGCAAGCTAAATATTTGCCAAAAAATTGTTCCAAATTTGAATAACGAAATCACCCTTGTAGAAACTTTATTTAAAATATCCTTTTACAAGAAGAAAATGGATAGTTCGGACTACCTCTTTCATCAGTACAAACATTAATGAGAGAGATAGGAATTATAGAGACAACTATCATTCAAGTTAAAATATCTATGTATTCTAAAAATGTATTCCGGGGACTTCATTTCAAACACTAAAAGTTTTTGTTAAGATTGCAATATTATATGTGTGAGTTACATAACAGATGAGTTATATAAAAATTTGGACAGTGTTAATTATGTTAAAAAAATGACTTGTTTTATTACAGTTACTAATTATTAATTAGTTATTAGAATAATCATTGATTACAAACGTGTAAAGAATATATAAAGATGAATTTCATTCTTTTGAATAAAACCATATGTTGTAGCGTAGTAATAAAATCTTCGTTGAGTATTTTTAAATATTTAACATATGTTCTTCAAGTATGTTCTTAAACTCAGCAGATTTCATTACTTTACTTACGAACTATTATCCAAATATTCAATCCTTGAGTACAGTCTTTCATTGTTTTTTTTTATGTGGAAATATCTTTGAATGATAACTCATCGTTATCCTTGTTGATGTAGTGGAAGCTAGTGTAAAACATTATTGATAGTCTAAAATATTTTAACTTTTTTATGTGAATTTTAAAATTTTATACACATTGTAAAATATTTTTTATTTAAAATTCCGTAATTTTCGATGTTTTGACAATTAGATAGTTTCAAGCTACTTATTGATTTTGTTTAATGTAATATACGTACAGGCACAACATATTCTTCTCTTTGCATTATTGACTTTTAAATTCTTTTTTCTTTTTTCTTTTGTCAGAAAACCCATATTTCCGTAAATTTATTTCTAATGTTTTGAAACATGTATGTGTTGATATTCGAATTGGACACTTTTCACCATATCTAGAATTTTGCAGTTTTTTGACCATTCTGATTGTAAGAAACAAATATGAATATTAAATCTTAAATGAATATTAAATCTAGAAAGTAACTAATGCATACATGAGTGATAAACATATGTAATAAATACGACTAAATACAGTGTTATGGAACTAAAATTGGAAACTAATCAATTTTCGACGTTTTTTATGAAGAAAGATGAAAAACCAATTGATATGTAAAAAAGTATTACAGTTCCAATTAAATAAAAATGAGTATTGATTTTTAAATTTTCGAAACGCCTCTAGTAGAATATTTATGTACGAGGAAATGTTGCACTTGAAACCATTTAATTTTTCTTAATAAAATTTTACCATTTGAACATTTATTTAATTTTGCCCAGTTACAAAGGACGTACGTGTCTATGTGAATTAATTCGACGAGAAGAAGGGAGAAGGAAAGACCAAAAGAATAAAATGCATATTTGCAATGTAAAATATATTTCATCTAGAGTCTAAACAAAATGTGACTCTCGTAGCAACAACAGTGAAACGACACTATACAATTGTACCTATCTTAGTACCATTACTAATTATTCATGATTCCTGCCAAATCGCATATGACCATAATCTTCAAATTGTTCTCGTTTCCCGAATCTCATATGTCCGTAATCGTCAAATTGTCGTTTATTTAAATCCACAATATCATCGTCTTCAACGAGGAAATTTTCCATGTTATACCTAAGAAAAAAGAAATTGGTAATTATTTGAAAGTAATTGCAAAGGATTATTTAATACACTGCTACAAAAGTGACACAATTCGAAAGTGTTTTTTTAAATTGCTACTATGAAAATATTCTTTAGGTTTAAGATATTAATTTAAATTAAAGAAATTAATTAACTAAAAATAGAAACGACGTTTAATCCTGCTTTATAAATATCGTTGTCTTTTTTGATAAAAAAGATTTTGATTCATAAATTATATATTATTACTATCTTTAAAAAAAAAAACTTGTTATATTTTTTTAAAAAATTATGTTATATTTCTTAAAAATTAAATTGAGTGTAATATCACTTTGAATACATTATTATATAGCTTTGAAATCATATATTATGTCAAAATGAAGCACAAACGTTCAAAGAAGATACAAGAACTGACGTTTTCAAGATTATAAAACAAATGATAATGCCTGAAGTATGGAATATACTAACTATATTAAATAATTTATTAATTTATTAATTTATATTAAAAAATATTATAATAAGAAATATATATTATGAAAAATATATTAATAATTATGAAAAGATACATTATATATAAGAAAGAAACAAAAATTTATTTTAGGAAAAAATCATTGTTTATATAATGTACTATACATTTGATTCTATGAAATTATTTATGTACGATCAGTTTATTATAGTTAATGTTTTTAATAAAACATTTAATGTAGCAAGTTGTATATTTACCCCCGTAATAAAGGACGACTGCGGAATCTTCGACGCACGTTGGTAACGAGTTCTGGGGCTGTTTCACATTTGGTAAAGAATAACCAGATAACCGCCATTGCGTAAGTTAGGGCAAGAGTGAAATTCATATCTAGAAAACAGACAAGTATATTTTTGCATTCATTACAGAATTAATTAATTAAAATAATCAATGAAAAAAAACTGTGTTAGTTATAAAGTAACGATTAAATAGATTAACACATTTACTGTCCCGTACAATTTGCGATAGATACACATAATTTTCGAAGTTATATTAGCTTCCTTTCACAATATCTCGTAAATATGAATCGTGCATTACACATGATGCATAAGTCGTGCAAAGCTGGGTTATATTTTACGAAACAAATATTTCAAATATTATTTAATATTTTAGATCCTATTGGGTTTAAATAAAATAGTTTAATTTTAAATAGGATTTAAGATTTCGACAAACAAAAAGTATTCTCATTTCAATAATGTGGGATTTAATCTTGCTTAAAATATTGGGTCATCTTATAAGTATAATAATACGATTCTTTCGATTTATTCTTTCGAATTTCTATCGTCGAGCTGCTGAAAGAAGTTAAGATAAGAACAAGTCACAAATAATGGTGGTAAAAAATATTTCTGATAATGTTAAATGTCTTTTTTGCGTTGTTTTAAGACTCTGAGAAATCGCAGTATTTATGAAATCTAATATTTCTTATTTTAGCAGATACATGCTACATTATTCTATTCTTTCGTTTTATTTTTATTCAGTTTTTGTAGAAAAACTATTCGGCTAAATTTTTAATACACAATACATAGATTAGAAACTATATTCATATATAGTATTGAATGTGAATCATTATTTTCAGCAGTAATATTTAAAATTAGGAAAATAAAGGAAAATAAATAAAATATTTCGAGACAAAATTGAAATATTTTCAATATCCTTCAGATAAAATATTGTTTTTTAAATACTACTTTAAAGCCTTACTATATCAAATCAAATATTTCAAAGTTATACGTATAAAAGTGAACAAAAGTATTCGCACACTCGATGAAAAATTATCGATATTTTAAATTCTTTAAATTTCGTAAAATAAAATCGTACGATAATCCCATTTTAGAGCATGAAATCTCTATTTTACTATCTTTTTTTTCCAAAAATGTTTTCATGCCATAGATAGAAGAGTAAAGAAGGATGCCTTT